CTCCTTAATCGAAGAACCACTTTCTTCATCGACCATAGTTAAGGCCGAGCTACTCCGGCTGAAACCTGCCAAATCGCCTGGCCCAGATAGAATTCCCGCACTAGCACTTCGTGAACTTGCTAATGAACTGTGCAAACCCTTATCCGCAATATTTCAGAAGTCATTTGAAGACGGCGAGCTCCCGGAAGATTGGAAGTGCGCACTCATTACTCCAATCCATAAAGGAGGCTCAAGACTTGACTGCGGAAATTATCGTCCCGTCAGTCTTACTTGCATTGCGTGTAAAATAATGGAACGCATTATCAAAAGACACTTAATGACATATCTGGAACAGAACAAAATATTGTGTGATGCCCAACATGGCTTTCGTCCAGGGCGCTCCTGCCTAACGAGAATTATTTACTCGCACGAGAAATGGACACGAGCTACAGATAAGGGTTTTCCAGTGGATGTCATATTTTTGACTTCAAGAAGGCCTTTGACAGTGTCCCACAAGGCTTCTTTTATAGAAGATCTGGGATGTAGGAATTCAAGGAAAAATGTTTAAATGGATCAGGAGTTTTCTGTCCTCCAGAGTACAAAGAGTCGTCGTTGGTAACTCTGCTTCGGAATGGGCAAAGGTGGAAAGCGGTGTCCCACAGGGTTCTGTCTTAGGCCCAATTCTCTTCCTGATTTATGTTAATGACTGCACCAGCGAAGTGAATTGCAAGGCCCTCATCTTCGCGGATGACATAAAAATACGGAGTTAAGTCAAGTGTGAGGATGACGCAGAGGAGTTGTAGTCGGACATCAACAAACTGTGTGCTTGATCGAACAGATGTCTTTTGAAGCTTAACGCGTCCAAATGCGTAGTCTTGCACCTGAACACCGGCGCAGTGCCTCTCCAAACACCAGTACTATATTGACGGGACGAGGTTAGAAACGGTGGAAAGACATGGAGATCTGGGTGTATGGACGACCACAAATCTATCACCATCAGAACACTGTAGAAAGATGGTCCAGAAGGCAACTAGTACTCTACACTGGATCAGACGTGCATTTAAAATTTTTCCTCCCGAACTCTTCGAAAGAATATTTGGGGTCTTTGTAAGACCTCATCTGGAGAATGGACTGCCAGCAGCTTCACCATGGATGAGGAAGGATATCGACATACTCGAACAGGTGCAACGCAGAGCGACAAAGATGGTCGACGGTCTTAAGCGTTTGTCTTATCAGGAGAGGCTGAATTTGCTTGGCCTATTCCCTATCTCTTATAGACAAATAAACTGAAGTCTACTGTCGACGTTCCGGATTGTCCGCGACCAGGGTTGCTCATTAGGAGCAGAGGACTTCTTTGAGTTCGTCCGTACAAACCCACTACGTGGCCATGCATACAAAGTCGGGAATGAGCGCACGCGTATAGACCGACGAAAATTTTCATTCAGTCAGCGGGTTGTCAGACCATGGAATTCGCTTCCAAGCGAGATGGTGACGGCTGACACAGTTTATGTGTTTAAAAGAAAACTTGCACGTCTAGTTTTCGACAGAAATCGGCTTGTACAACATGACTATGCACAACCAGTTTTGTAAAATCTGTCATATACAATCTTTCCGCACTAATTTACAATGATCTTTTGCAATACCTTATGATTACGATTGAACTGTGACCCAATGACATTGTAAATGCCTGCAATTTTATTTTTGATTACGAATCTGCGAAAGCACTGTACATAAATAGGGTCATCAAGGGCTCTGCCGTTAACCCTTCAAATATATGCATACATGCATACATATATAGTCTGCACTTAAAAGATTCAACAATTTCGGAGGGAACCAATGCATCAGAGATTCGTTCGATGCTCCAGTGACCCTATGCGAGAAGGCGTTCCGTCGGACGTCTGTTTGGGCTAGTTTTCTCTGCAGTTTAAAGGGAGGACCACGCAAACGGTCCGTCCCGGCCGATCGATTGCCGTCTCCTGAAGACAACCCTAGAAGCTCTTCCCACGCAGCATGTTCTGTTTCCAAATGGAACGCGCGGCTTGCAACAGCTAATTGTACGGATCTCGTCTTCATCAGACGTCCTGACAGCATAGACGAGGTCTACTGTCTACCTCCACTCGGTCGAAGTGATCACGCAGTACGTTTATGGGATTACGAACTGTATTCTGCACCGTATGCAAAAGACGATACGAGACCAAATATGTGGAAAGGGGACTTTTGCCAAATGGGAGCTAAGGCATCACAAGTAGGATGGGATGTTCTCTTCTCTGGAAACGTTAACGAGAATTGGAATTCTTTCAAGGATCGGCTGCTGCATCTACTGAAGAGCCATTGTCCCCTATGAAGGCCTAGGACATCCAAACGATCTCAATGGAAAATGCGAGGACTCAAAAAGGAGATCAATAAAAAAGGAAGGTTGTGGAATATGTCTTGAGAAAACAACGACAACAATACAGCGTTTACGGATTATAGAGTTCGAAGAAATAGGGTAAAAAGCCTGATTTTGAATAGATTACGGGATTTCGAGGGTAATTTGCTCCACCGAGTCGTTTAAAAATACGAAATCGGCCTTCAGCTATTTGCGGAAGAGCACACGTACCAGGAATCCCATTCCTGTCATGGGGAATGATTACGGTTTGGAGATATGGGACATTACGAACAAAGCTGAGCATTTTTTGCAGATTTTCCAATCCGTTTTCACAAGGGAAGCAGACTTTACTCCATCTAGCTCTGAGAACAAGGGAGATGCAATTACTGAAAATATGCTGTTTCTAGAAGAAGCGATTTTGGAAGAACTACAAAGCCTGAAGGAATGCAAATCTCTCCGTCCGGACGAGATCCCAACAAAGCTACTTTTTGAGCTTGCCCGACAACTGGCCGGACCACTATCCTTTCTGTGCCAGAAAACGTTTGATGGTGGAACCCTTCCCGCAGACTGGAAGACGACCCTTTATTACACCACTTTACAAAATCGGTAATCGTGCCCATGCGACACACTACTGACCCGTCAGTCTGACATCAATCTGCTGCAAAGTGGTAGAGAAATCCATCAAGAAGGAGTTGATGGCTTATTTGGAAACCAAGAACCTCTTGTCTAATGCGCAATACGGTGTTCGTACGGGGAACAGCATGTGAAACGAACTTTCTATACACAATGCAAAGTTGGACATGAGTATTGGATGCAAAACGCACTATGCATATAAACTATATTGGTTTCCGAAAGGCGTGCGACGGTGTTCCGCACCAGAGCCTCCTTTACAAGTTAGGAGTGATGAGCACCGGCGGTAAACTTCTCAAATGTATCGAGAATTTCTTCGTCGGCCAGTCCTAAATTGTTTGCATAGAACAACGGCAATCAAGGCGCATATTCATAGAAAGTGGAGTCCCACAAAGCTCAGTTTTCGAACCGGCCCTCTTTCTCTCTTCGTCATTGATCATGTAGATGAGTTGGACTGTGATAGCGCAATGTTTACAGATGACATAAAAATCTAAAAAGTCATCCAGAATGCCGCAGACGCGACCAATTTCCAAGAAAATCTATGTCGATTGAACGAGTGGTCTCGCCGATGGCTCCTGTCCTTCAGTTTGGACAAATGTACCATACTGCCTCTCGGAAATCAGACCCATAGTACGCGGCAATACCATCTGAACTGAATGTCACTCCGAAAAGCAGAAACGTAGAAGGACCCCGGAGTCTAGGTTGCAGACAGCCTAAAGCCTTCTACACCATGTTGCAAGGCGGTCAAGGCCGAAACATAAAGCTATACGCCATCAAGCGGGCATTGTTCGATGAAGACTGCTTCTTCAAATTCTTCGGCTCGTTTGTAAGGCCGCATCTTGTATATGCAACTCGGGCCTGGAAACCGTGGACGCAGCAAGATTACAATCTACTCGAGAGGGTGCAGAGGCGAACAACAAAACTAGTAAGAGGTCAAGGTGCACTCCCATACAAGATCTGCCTAAACAGCCTTAACGTCTATCCTCTGAGTTATAGACAGTTGTGCGGAGACTTGATACAAACCTACCGTGTTGTGCGGGGACTTGGACTGCGCCCTTCGGTGCGACGGCTTTTCTAACTCGCCACTACAAAATAACCTTCGGGGACATGCCTTTAAACCACGTGTATCCAAAGGCAGATTGAATGTGGAAAGTATTTCTTTCTCCAACCTTGTAGTGGAATCGTAGAATGACCTGCCCGTGACTATTATTATCTCTCAATATGTGAAGAGAGTTAAATTTCGGCTTGACCGACATTCTTCAGCAACCAGCGGACTGTGTGACTGCAACCATAAAACCAATGACCTATGTGAATCCATGTCTGCATTCCCTCAGTGCTGCAATTTCTTCACATTTTGCTCATTTTATAGATTATTTATGTATAGATAGGGAGTTCAAAGACGTAAACTTATTCCCCTCAAACACGCTTAGTGACACTGACTGATGATTGCAAGAAAACTAGGACAATTATACTACAGACAAAAAACAAGGGAGACTGGAATGGCCATTTATGACTTATTGGCCGTCGTCAGTTGGACATACCCCGAGGCGCGGAATGGCTGGACCAGAAAAAGCCTTTCCAATTTGTCTTGTCTTTTATCGGAAATGTTATCCTACCTATACTAGGCACTGCTGTGAGGTTGTTAGCAGGGCTCGCGAAAGAGCCCCGAAGCACAACGGGACCAGTGAGTTTCGCAACAGGATCGATGAGCACTCTTCTACCACCGGACGGATATATGATCGAATGAATAGCAGAATGTCAGTTATTAGGACAATTAGAGTAACCCTTCAGCGAATCTAATGGGGTGGAGTCGATAGTCCTAGAGTAAGTTGGCTTGTGGAAGTTGAGGGCAGTAACCGAATCTAGAGGAAAAATCACACCCATTATATTTACTTTGTTCATTCCCTGCACATTCATAGCCTGTGGTGGTTACATGTGCATACGCTTTCCTTCAGCTAGGGCAACTTGAGCGACTTTGGAAAGCGCTCGAATATTGAAATAAGTCGGTAGCAGTACTTTTAGTATGTCTGGGAACGTCCTTCCGAGGTCTAGCTTGAAGGCCCCTCTATCGTTGGGAGTTGGCCGCTATATTTGCCAACTAAAGCGCCTTACTTTTAAGTTTTGCAAAGCTCGAGGTGATAGTATTGGCGTTAGGGACTTTATAGAAAAAGAGGTTGTTGAATTCGCCCGGAACAATCCATCGGTTGTTGTATACCTGAAACCCAGGCGACATCGCTCTCCTCTTTTGGTTGCTGAATACCGTAAGTGCCTGTCCATGTCGTGGTCAGTCGGCCTTCTTAGCGGCTACTGTGGTGTTGCCATCCCTTACGCGAATATAATCAGATTCGACTTTTAAGTGCCCCCAACGACCTCATATTTATAGTCCACGCTAATTTACCGCAGAGTTGATTATTAAGGACACATACTGCAATACTGCTGCCATCTATGCCATATTTAACACATGGACGCCCTTAGTGATATTTATTTACGAACCTTAGTGACCGCTCTTGAGTTCAAATCTTGTGTTGATAGGCCTCTTGATAAAAAATAACCCTTCATTTTTCCATTGGGCCAACATCAGCGTGGCTGTTTGTCAATCTCTGATCGCGGACATTTTGGCTCATTGAGAGGAAACGGCTACTTGGGATCAACGCCATATTATTTTTTGTTTGAACCCTGCCTTCTTCCTTTACACAGGGTCGTGTTCACCCAACAGTGTCCAGGTCACAACTCGAATCTCGTCTTCGGGCGGTGCCATACAGTGATGTACGGCTTTCTGATGTCGCAGTAAATCGGATTTAAGCCATCTAACTGCTATAGGTAGTCTCTGGACCGTTAGCAAGTGGTTTTCGGGCACAACGCTGGTAGTGTATAAGTATCAGTGTTATTCTCAAAGCACCTATGTAGGTCTTGTGGGCTTCGAAAATGATGCGTGACAATCAATATTTTATAATCTGACTTGCGTTCTTGATTGCCACTGTATTCTTTTGATGCTGCCCCACAGCGAAGTCCAGCGTTCGATGCGCCCAGGAAAACAGTGTTGTTTTCATTGGCGGCTACTTGTTAACTTATGGAGTCTTCGATCACCAATAATTCTGACCAACACCTGTCGCCGAAAGCAACAAGAATTGCACGCAGATGTTCCATTAAGAAGATGTAGCCGATAAGCCGGCACTATAGGACCGACGTCTCATCGTTACTTCGTCATCAGTGTGACCCTCTGCGTTAGATCGTTCATCCATTCAAACCGACAGAATAGCAGATTCCCCCGTTTAACCACCTGTCACTAGGGTAACCCACTTTGACTTCTGGTGATAATTGTCATAAAAGGGCAAGGAGCTTTGTCGTGTGATCGCGCTCTGTCACCATATTCGGAGAATAGTTTGCTCTGCGAAGCCAAAGACATGTTTATTTGTACGCTGAAAATTAGGGGATTTAATTCAGTCGGCAATTTTTTGCTGTTTTAGTGAATGGCAACTACCATTATCTGCGTCTGTCCAAAATGAGCTGTGAGGAAATAAACGCCTGGGTCGAGCACTTCCGTACGCGGTCCGGTGAAAATATCATGCCCATTTACAAGCCACGAAGTACAAATAACCCCTCAATCCAAGGGATGTGGACTCCTTTTTCATCTTCTCATAATTCTGGACGGTCTGTAATGACTCCGTCGGAGATTTTGGCTAATCTTGAGAAACTATCGGTCTGCGAGTTTGAACGAGACCAGTCGGCGGAGGATTACGTGCGCGACCTGGACCAACGGCAGCGCCGCAGAATTGCGAGCGAATGACACTTTAAACACTTTGCCTGTAAATACTCTTGTACAATTTTACATTTTAGAGGTACTTCTTCAGATCTTAGGAATACGGGGCGAGTGTTATATGAACTTTGGACTGTAGACCTACTTCTTTTCTAATTTATGTACGAGACAAAATGTTACGTAAAAGATGTGCCTGGTTTTTTGATAGGTCGTGACCACTAAACGGCGGGGTGCCCTTCCTCTACAGCTTATTTTTTGAGTACTCAACCTCCCAGGTTCCCGGTGTCCCCAACTATAAAAGCGACATTGCAGTGTACATAAACCTTATCTTCCCACTGTCGTTAACAGTTTAATGACCGCCTCCCTCTTTGAGACGTCAGCCTCGATAGCAAAATAGCCGCTCTTCGTGTTCTTCCAATATGCTAAAATCAAGGCCCTTGGAGTGGTGAGATCTTGCTTATCTGACAACTGACTGCAGATGTCCCCAAGAGAACTGCTCAGATAACAGAGTCCGTTACCGCAGGTCGACTGCAAATGGAGTCCAGAAATCGCCAGATCGTCGTAATGTTCTTATTCACAGCTTCATGCAACCGAGGGGCGTTTTGACTTTAGATTAACGACTGATCCGGGGAGATTTACAGCGTGGAGGGATAACTTTTCATTTTGTTTGCAGTATGAGCTTCCACAGCTTCCTTACAGTCCATCAACCTCTGGAACTTATGCACGAGAAAGCCTCTGTCTTCCTCGTCCGTGAACGCACAGACAACCTGATTAAGTTCAGGGGACAGATCTGAATATCCACTCACTCCTCATGCATTCCCCAGTCGGTCCAGCGAATCTATCATGTAGTTTTGGTAGTATCACAGGGACAATGCGTAGGGATTCTGTGCGATGCATTTTAACCGTTACGTTGTTGCATCACATGTAAGCTGTACTGGTGAACCTTACCCCTTGGGGTTTTTGCTGAAGTGTATTTGGTTCGGTCGTAACGCCAGCGGCGATACAGGTCGACAGCGTAGATTTCGAGTGACGGGCCCAAAAGGAGTCACAACTCTGGCCATACTTGGTGATCAGTGATAAAATGTTCACTCCGATCGGCTTTTTCTGCAGTTACTTTTCGAGTTCGCAAGCTAAGGCAGCAATTGCAGACTTCGTGGTTGCTTTGCTTTTTCCGAGAAGATGTGTGCCGCCAGTTTCGGCGGCCTAAATTAGAGAGCTCTGTGGAGATTCCAACGCACACTACCTCTTTTCAATACTCGGCATTAATGGTGTCCACTGAGGTTAACTACTCCCCTTATTCCTTCTGCATGATTGGCAAAGCTGTTTGACCCCCTTTTCCATGCACTTGGAAGTCCGGGATGTTACTATTTCTTTACCTCATAACCTACGGCATTAAGTACCAGACCTGCCAAACATCCATTCCTCATTTTTTAAATGAAAAAAACTTGATCTACCTAGTTTCCGAAGCGCAGCCTGATTGACAATACTGTGCAACAATCCTTGATGAAGGGGAGCGCGGTTAATTGCTATAAGTATGCGGTAGCATAGCGACTGCATCCTATAAGTACTGCAACTTCCTGTGCACGAGTCACCCTTTTCCGCCAATGTCTCTGATGATGGATTCAAGTGAGAATACGAAACTTCAGGTGAACAACGCTTCCAGACCTGCTTTTAGCAAGCTTGTCAAGTGTTGCCCATATGGCTGCGTTTGGGCCGCTGAAAGAGGCTTCCATGAGGACTGAAGAAGTAGGCGGTTGTTGTCGTTGCATCCTGCAACCCTAAATTTGTCTAGCAAGATTGAGTAGTACCAACAGAGCATTCAGGTGTCTACTCTTATCAGCCCGGAAGGTGAAACGCAGCATGCTCTTACTAATTTTCAAATGTTAGTTTTAATGCGAAAGTTGCAAATAATATTGAAGTGTTTTTGGATGAGAGTTTGAGGTTTATTTAGGGTCTGAACATAAAAATAGGCAGTTATGAGCGTTTTTAAAGAGGTCTAAAGTATTCATAGGCCTCAGCCATTCGCGAGTAACTGTGGTTTCTAACTCCTACGAATACCGCGGATCAACAGTATTGCCAGTTGTGCTTCCTAAGTCCGAGGAAATTGACGAAACGCTGTTATCAAAGACTACTTTTGAAGGGTGATGACTGAACACGTATTAGGTTTCTTCTCTCTCCACATTTCCAAGAATCAGACAAGGGGACATTTCGTGACCCAAAGTCTTACGTAATTGCGTACGCCGTTAAGTTCATCAACCACGATTAAAATATTCGTGAAAGGCGGTCTCTGAGAGCCCGTCATTCTTGCCTGGCAATCGCAGATACCCACTCTCATCTTGCGATCATAATTCCGAAGTCAGCGCGAACCTCTGCTGGGTCTATCACCACAGTGTGAGGGATAATACTGATCAGCGAACGTTCTTCCTACGATCGTGAATATGGCCGATCACAGGCGATACGACAACGGTTCCCTGGCTCAGTGGTTGAGCGCTGGACGTCACGCTTAATGACTAAAATATCCGGATTCGAGTCCCAGGTCGTCCAGACTTGTGGTTGGGTATGAGTTGCCGATGACGGCTAATCAGTCAAAAATGGCCGTCACTGTCTCCCTCGTCTTTGCCGTTACTCCTCCTGGATACCTTAGAAATTTTGTTGCCTTGGAAAGTCAAGCATTCTCGGGGAAAGTATATTCTTCCTATATATTAACCTCACGTACGAGGCTATCGCGCATGCAAGGAGTGTTCTCAGTCAACAGGGTAAGCACCCGGCACTTGAGTGTCTGTAAAAGCCGGGGGAGAGGAATGGACTGTTAAAACCCGCGATTTTGTGATCATCGTCTGGCGGGACAGTGTTAGGTCTTCGCGATCCTTTCGCAGGTAGCCTATCCATGTCCGTAGAATGGAAGAGGGTGGTACCCAGCTGTAAATGCGCCCTGCGAGTGCAGCTACTCCCAGACCTGCAACACTGGTGTTGCTGGCATCTGTGACGACAAATTCCTGCACGAGTTTGAAAGCCCCAGAAAAGTTTCCGGTGCTCGATCAGCCTCGTTTTTCCCTTGGAGCTAATAAGCACTTGAGCAGGCGCTGAGAATTCATCTACCGAGTGATAAAGAGTTTGAAAAAAACAAAGTGCGCACCGGATCAGGGGCATTGTCTTGCCGACGTTTCGGAGAGCTTGACCAGATATCCATTATCAAAACGCTTAGCGCAAAAATAGACCAGAATTTTGAATAGACAGACGAACTAATTGGCCTTGGGCTGGTCGATGTTCTTTTCTTTCGCTGCCTTGGCCTTCTGGCCGTTGTTTGTGAGTGAGTTTAAAACATCTGAAACAAGAGCTAGATGAATCCATGGTACGTTTCGATGTCGTCTCACTCTTTACCTCTATTCTACAACAACTAGCGATTGACGTTATGAGACAACTCCTGGCTGATCGATGCGACGAGAGAGACAATCCTCCTCATGGAGCTCTCACGGTATTGCCTAAAAACATATTTCGCCCTTGACGGACAAATGTAGGACAAATCAAAGGCACCCCTATGGGCTCCCCCATATCAGGGCTGATTGCTGAAGTGGTCTTAAAACGGGTAGAACACTTAGTGTTCACCAAGTATCAACCGAAGTTCTAGACTCGTTACGTCGATGACAATTTTGCCATTGTTGAATCCTGTCACGTGGAGCACCTTAACGAATTAGCGAACTTGGTTGACGCGAATACCCAGTTCAAGATGGAAGCTGAAACAAACAACCAGCTTCCCTTCCTCGATTTCCTTGTGCGTCGGTGTGCAACAGTGCAATTACAAACTGCCGTTTTCAGAAAAGCCACGAACACAAGACAAATACTTTAACAACAATCACCCCCTCTCTCACAAGCGCAGTTGTGTTCGTGTTCTATTTCGAAGAGTTGAAACACACTGCAGCACATCAGCCGACAAAAGAGTTGAACGACAATATCTTAACGACTTCTTTCGGGCCAGTGGATACCCAAGCTACTTTATCAAGCAAAGCAAACGCCGATGGAACAAACGCCAACCACAAGAAGAAGAACCCGAAGTCTGGAGGACTATTTCCTACATTGGAGAAGTCTCCGAGGCGGTTCCACGATTGTTACAAGCCGCCAATAAATTAGTCGATGGCCGTGTTTGTTCGGTATTCTTGAGCTCCAAGTGACCGTCTTGTCCTGGTCATAGTGTATGTAATGACATAGGACTTTATGGGCTGCTTACGTTTTCTAACCTGATAAAGAGTTGTTAGTCAAGCCTTTGGGAGCCCGTCTTCTTTTTATAACGCCTATAAAGCATCCGCTCTAGGTCGGGCATACGAAAACGGGGAAATTACAAGCCTCACCTTCATGCATAGCTATGCATGCGCCAGGGATTTTATTTTAACGTGGACACGTCCACTGGAAGCATCAGGGTCTATTACCCTTCTGTCTTCATTACCTAGTAAATACCATTTCTAATTCATCCTAACACCAGTGACAATCTATCGTATTTTATGTCCAAAAATTCGGTTTTAAAACATTTCTTAGATAACGACTACTGTTGTAGTAGATTTTCAAGGCCTGTAGCTATGGGGCGAATTTTCTCGGCAGATTGTATGGTTGTATTCATCGCATAATGGACACCAAAGGTTTCTTGGGTCTTCTACGAACTGATTTTAACAATTTGTCTATGAATAAAACGGTACTTGTCAGATATATATTCTTATAATTAATTGAAAAACAGGCATCCCAAGAGACATAATTAGGAAGATGGAATTCTTTGGGAAACAGTAAACTTTATTGTGTAAATTTTCGAGACTGGTTCCCCAGCTCGTATTCAGACAACAAGCGTGCGAAAACAATTGACTTCCAGACCGAGTCTGACAAAGGATTCTATGATTGGTTAAAGTCATCTCGGGATTGGTCGAGTCAGTTTGAATCTGTCCTTTAGGATTTTGTATGTGGCATCTAGATCTATATGCCGGTTAATGCATGCCTCATCTGAATGCATTGCCTCAAGGAATTCGCGGCCTTTCCTTATTGGGCAG